CATTCCATACATAAACCAGCAGAGAAAAAATAAGATAGCAACAATTACAATGTAGGGGTTTCTAAAAAATGCACTGAGGCTAAAAAACAACTCACAGTAACTTAAATACTGCGGAATAAAAGGTTAATAAAGGGGTTCCTGTTTATGTCACTGGGTGGAAACAGAATATTTTCAAGAACTATATAGATATCCAATTACTGATTCCAAAACTAAAAAGGGACGCTATGTTTACAAAGAAATAATACCCTGTAGCAATAAGTAAAAAGAAAAAAAGAAGAGATCCGAGTAGGTGTTTAGATATTTCTTACAACTGTAGTATTAGTAATTAGAGAAAAAATAAGTTTTGCGCCATGCAAAAGTTCTAAGAATGTTTAATGCATTAATCTTGGTTAAGCTGCCTGAATTTGACCTATTTTGTTACAGCTATCTTCCCAAAGATTCAAAAGGTTTCACATGTCATAGAGTTTTATCTTTTTCTCTATCATCTCATGCATAATCTTTGCAAATGAGAACTTAATAAATAGTAGCAGGAGTTGCTGCAGATGCAAGCAGCTGTAGGCTGAGATAGAACATAGGAAGCTTGAAGTAAAGAGATCAGAATTGGAGGATTGGAGGTTAACTTTAGGTGGAGCTATCATGATCTGCCCTGATAGCTCACCTTAATTGTTCATTTCAATCACCTGCCTACATCTCATCTCATTCACCTGCTGATTCCGCTTTATATTCGGCTCAGCCCAGCTATCGCGGCCAGATCATTGTTTGTTTTATGCCTGTTAGTTTGTCTGTTTTTTTATTTAGTTTATTCCATGGTTCCTGTCTTTGTTCCTGGCGGCCATTTAACCGGTTTAACATTTAACTGGTAAATTGCAGCAAGACTCTGCTCTCTGAAATAAGCTGTTTCAACAGCTTATGGCTTGGTGCCTCAAGCTTATAGGCAGAGGTTTTTTTAACCGAGAGAAAACAGGTAACCAGACTCATTCATTCATTCATTCATTCATTCATTCATTCATTCATTCAGTCAGTCAGTCAGTCAGTCATTCAGTCATTCATTCATTCATCAGGGAGCAGGGAAGTCTTTTCCTGGTCACATTGCTGTATACATCAGTTAAGACTATTTCCCAGGCATCTAGGCTGGCAGATGAGTATGTGCTTACAGTAGACACAGGGGGGCCATGAGTTCCACTCCTGGGAAGATTAAGGTTAATGGAGAGCAAGGAAATTTAATCTGGAAGGTTATATGAAGTGTCAGGATGTTGTGGGCATGGATTAGCACGTTACCCATGAGTTGAAGTACTGTAGCATGATGATATCTATTATATATGAGTTGTTGTATGCAGGTCAACTATTCAAACATACAGAAAACGTAACATGACAATCTTGTTAGGCAGGTATCCGTGGCACCTGTTCTAGCTTTAAAGCCCTTCCCTGGTGACAACCCGGCAAACCATCCAGGTAACAATTAAAACAAGTGTATTTGTCATACCCTTTCCTACTATTATCTGCCCCCAGAGGCCTGAAGAATAGTTAAATTACAGCTCTTAGATTAAATTGGAAAAAAAAAA